AAAGAAGAGACTGAAAATTCCATGCAGTCAGGACTGTTCTGTATATGGGGAAATCTTTAGAAGAAAATAACTGCCAATTACCCAGCAGTTTCAGATACATTTCTAATATAGAGCATTAGAGAGAAATAAGAGGACTCTCCTGTACTGCATCACTTGGCTGATGAGGATTAAATTTGCTTTACTGTGTGGCAATCACAGCTCTCTCTCTCTCTCTCTCAGGATTTTTCTTAGAGGTGCACAGAGAGAAAGAAAGAGAAAACCATTTCTATTTCTGCTCCTTGTTTTTCTTATGTGGAATGTGTTTGGAGAATTGTTTACCTGGAGTGAGTGCTTGATTGGATTCTGGGGAGGATTGTTTGAGCCTGATGGCCAATCCAACCCACCTGGGGCTGGACTCTCAAGAACAGGGTCACAAGTTGTGAGTTAGATATGGTAGTTAGAGAAAGTAGGTTTGTAGTTTTAGTATCTTCCTTGATATAGTATATTAATGTATTATAACATAGTTATAATAAGGAAATCATTCATCCTTCTGAACTGAGTCAGATGTCATAATTTCTTCCTGTCAGGTTTGCCTGCATTTACACTATTACTGTACTGTAGACCCTGCAGCACAAAAACAGATCAGTTTCATTCTGAGAGCTTGTCTTCTCATATTCTAGATGTATCAGTTCCTACCCACCCTGTTACTGTGAAAATGGAATGACTATCCATAGGAAAGCACAACACCACAGAAGACCATTGGGAGCTATGAACGTTCCTAAATGATTGTCTCTAAGATTATCATTTTAGAGGGTGCAATATTTTATCTGAGTGTTTGGGGAGTGAAGGCTTGCTACAAGAAGCGTGGCAGTTTCCCTGTTGGGAGACACATCTAAAATTACCTCGGACACTGCTCAGTTATTTTATAAAAGCCATGAAATTGTTGGTGCCTGAGGAGGAGGAAGATGATATCCTGCAGAAGTAATGCCTGCACTTATGTGTGAAGCTCCACAGCATGAGTTGGGCTGATCCAGAATGATGGCTCAGCACTGGGAAGGACAGCTGGATTTTGCAGGATGACTCAGATCTTTCTGACACCTCACACTGAACTGGCCAGGGCTGGAGCCAGCTTGTGATGTTGGGGAAAGCTCAGTACCTCTCCAGATCCCAGCCTCAGACAGGAAAGCAATTCCCTTCCTCATGAGACATCACTTCTGCTACTGCAAGCCTCTTCCCCTGGGAAAGCATCCTCATCAGGAGGAGGCAGTTCCTGGGAAGAACAGGGGCCCAGAAGGAGCATGGGCCCATTCCTCCCTTCCTGAGCTGCTGGCCATTTGTTCCCCAGTATCCATGTACAGAGAAAGGACAGGGGAGCAAGAGAGAGGAGGGATGATGCAAAGCAGAGCAGTTCTGGGTTACCCATAATTGCTGAGTGTGGACACAGGGAAGGAGAAACCCATCCTTCCTGAAACTCCCTACTGTGAATGGCAGCTGGATGCATCTTATCAGGAGCCAGAATGAGCTGCTGCAGCAACAGCTGAAACCACTCACTTGCAAAATGTGAGTTGGTGACTTCTTTGAAAAGCTGCAGGTGTGCAAGGAGATTAAGAAGAAATCCGATTTCTTTTTCCTTCGGAAATTGCCTGGAGTTAGGGAGACAGAAGTGGGTAACTATTGGTGGAACTGTTACTTTCACTTAAGAGCATTACACTGGTCTCACAGTCAAATGGAAATCACCTCTTTCTTTAAAGAAAATGGGCATGTTGCGTGAAGATGTAGAAAATGAAGGAATTGGCTGGCATAGTGCTCAAAAAAAATTCCTTCCCTCAAACTGTGGACTCCCATCCACATCTGCTGCTGGGCTGGAAGTGGAAGCAGTTGACTTACCTGGCTGCAGAGGACTTGGTGGGCAGGGGCTGTTCAGATGGCTGTTGGGACAGCCAACTTCCCAGATAACAAGAGAAATTCTGTATTACACCAATATATCCTTGTCCTGTCATTAAACCTCATGGGACAGCATGGTCCCTATATGTTTGGGACCAGTCTAACAAGCCTGGCTGGCAAATATACATTTCCCCTGCATTGCCCAGGTACCTCTCCCCCTGTTTAATTGAATCCTTGCTGGTTCAGTTTCTTTCTGGCTTTGCTCCCTTCTGTTGGTCTCATTTTCTGTTTGGCTCAGTCTCAACCCTCATTGCACCACAGAGACTCTAAGAAAACTCCAGTAGCTCTGAGTGAGCAGAGCAGCCACGTACGAGCTCTTGCACACACTTGGTCTTGATTGTTGTCCAGCAGAGGCTCTCAGCTGCCAGCAGATTCCAATGTGGTCTGTGAGTATCATCTATGGGCCACATAAGAGATAGCTAAGAAAAGCAATTATATGACAAATTTTCAACCCAGCTCAAACTTCTGCATCTGCTGGAAAACAACTAGAGCAGAAGAGTTCACAAACCAAATCTGTGAGTGAAAACTGTTGCTTTGAACTGACTCTGGTTTCTTTTAACCCTAACTCTTGTAAAACCAGAGAAGTCTGACCTGTGGCAGCTGTACAGATTCGATCCACTGCGTTGAGCCAAAGAAACACTTTTTGAGCAGCTCTACAGCTCCCAGATCCCTCAAGTCAGGATGCAACACAGCCCACTGCCACTAAACTCCCAGGTGGTGAGGGGAGGTGCTGTTGTCTCCTGGTCCAGGAGATGGCCTTGCCTGTGGCATAACTCAGCAGTGCTTAACAAATCTAAACAGCTGAGCAAAACCACCCTCCAATGGCACTCTGTGTCCTGCTCCAGCTTCAGCACAGCCGTGCTGGAAACCTTGACTAAAAGCACACCTCAGCTGAGTGCAGGTAACACTACTGGATCTGCTTCCAGCTTTCCACATGTGACTGATTTCCCATGTGCTGCTAAAAATACCAATATTCCCTTTATAAAGAGAGCCTTTCTGACCCATAGGGGACAGGAGGCATCCTCAAAGCACAGCAAAGTTGGATGTTGCCTTCCAGGTTTGGACAACCAGGTGGTATCAGGGCTGTTTTCTTCTGTGGCCATGATCTACACAGACAGGTGCTGCTCAAACCATTCATGTCTAACTTCAAAAAGATTTTGTGGGCCTCCTCTGCTGCACTGGGAACTGAATGGGCAATGCTTAGCTCTTTTTCCTGTTTAATGGCAATGGCTTCCCACGAACTGTGCAAGTAGGACCTGTGCTGAGCTGTCGGAATCTGTGGGTATTGATGATTCCAAGATTGTAAAACGTCTCTGTCTTTCTGCCCCACTGCCAAAGCAGAAGCCATAATTCGTCTGTGCTGGTTTCAAGGTTGTTTATTCTGTTTATCTCTAACATGTTCTGCTGCCCTGCCGCAGCTCTGTCCTGCAGGGCAGCGTGTGGGGCTCTGCCCTCAGTGGGATGTTACAAACATTAAATACCAGAAACTACCTGTGCTGGATTTACAATAACGTGCCAATATCTGTCACCTACGTTGAACAGTGTGTCCCCAGCCTAAACCAACAGAAAAATGCCAACACTGCAGTGAAACATGGAGGGCATGAAGAAGGAGAAAAAGGACAAGGCACACCCAATTTCCTCCACCTTGTCCCCTTTGAACCCCTAATCTAGAAACCTAAAATTTTACTTTTGCACCCGTGCCACACTTAATTATTACTCATATCAAACACTCAGAGCTTGTAATTCATCCTGTAAGATTGAAAACTCTTTTCCATGGACAAAGATCACAGACAGTGTCTCTGGGGGCTCTGTACAGGGGGTTCCTGACCCCCTGCCAGGGTCCCAGGCCCTCCAGGGCAGACAGAGGGAAGCCCTGGATTCCCACACTGAGCTTAGGAAGAGGAATAATAAAGTATGAAAGTGCAAAACTAGCAAGCAAACAGACAGTGGTACACAATGGTTTGGAGCACAATGTACCAGCAGTGAAGGAAAACTGCCCACCACATCTCAGTAAATGTTACTGCCAATAATTTTAGGTTCTTTAAGCATTTTTCAAGCAATCATGTTCATTTTAGTCAGGCTACAAACCACTGTTTCATGCATACAGGACTTGGAAAACTCTGCAGAAAGAGGTGCCTGCCCTTCCAGGGCAGATGTGCAGCCACTGTGGGCGGTGGGTGCAGCATGGAGGGCTCCCAGCCTCTGTGTGCTGCCCAGGGAACACTGCCGGGCACCAGCACATCCTGAGTCAGACTTAAAATATGAAACAAATGGTTTGAATTCTCCCTCAGAGAACTGCTGTTGTATGTGGGTGCCAGCAGCAGCATTTCAGCCATTCTTGGCAGCAACTCACTGCCAAAATAGAGACACTCTCTCCCCCCACACCATATGTGTATGTGTTTCGGGAAAGCTTGGGGAGAACCTCACTGTTTGTGGTTTGGCTGTGCAGGGTGTGCAGGTGTGGGAATCCAGGGCTTCCCTCTGGCTGACCTGGAAGGCCTGGGACCCTGGCAGGGGTCAGGAACCCCCCTGGACAGAGCCCCCAGAGACACTGTCTGTGATCTCTGCCCATGGAAAAGAGTTTTCAATCTTACAGGATTAATTACAAGCTTTGAGTGTTTGATGTGAGTAATAATTAAGTGTGGCATGGGTGCAAAAGTAAAATTTTAGGTTTCTAGATTAGGGGTTCAGAGGGGACAAGATGGAGGAAATTGGGTGTGTCTTGTCCTTTTCCTCCTTCTTCATGCCCTCCATGTTTCACTGTAGTGTTGGCATTTTTCTATTGGTTTAGGCTGGGGACACACTGTTCAACGTAGGTGACAGATATTGGCACGTTATTGTAAATCCAGCACAGGTAGTTTCTGGTATTTAATGTTTGTAACATCCCACTGAGGGCAGAGCCCCACACGCTGCCCTGCAGGACAGAGCTGCGGCAGGGCAGCAGAACATGTTAGAGATAAACAGAATAAACCACCTTGAAACCAGCACAGACGAATTATGGCTTCTTCTTTGGCAGTGGGGCAGAAAGACAGAGACTTTCTACAGTCTCGGGATCATCAATACCCACAGATTCCGACATGCAGGTGGGTCCGCACCAGCAGCGACAAAACGCGCTGATTTACTGTGGTGAGCGCCAGCAAATCAAGCTGTAAGCGATCTGTGTTACTCTGTTATTTGCGATGTTCAAAGTTGTACCAAGGTGCCAACACGGACGTGCCACAGCGGGATTTGAGCCATATTAGGTTTTCCTTTCCTTTGGTTGGTTTGTTTGTTGTTGGTTGGGGGGGGGGGGGGGGTGTTTGTTTGGGGTTTTTTCTCCTTAACATAGAGAATTGATATGGATAGTTCTGGCCTTTACACGGAAAATACCGACTTTTTTGAATTGCTGGTACTCGTGGCAAAGGGGAGCCAGGGATGGTACAGTTGTGAAGCCGATGAGGAGCCCAGTGAGGCAGAGATGCTCCTGCACGGGGCAGCGACCTGGAGGGACCGGGAGGAGAAGCTTCTCCCACCGCGACTGCCGGCACAGAGCCACTGGAGCCAAGCCGGGCGTGCGGCGGGGCTGAGCAGCGGCTGGAACCGGGCGGAGCGGGGGGATGACAGGCGGGGCTGGAGATGCCGGGCCGGGATGTTCCGTGCCGGGCAGGGATGCTCCGTGCCGGCCGGGATGCTCCGTGCCGGGCCGGGATGCTCCGTGCCGGCCGGGATGCTCCGTGCCGGCCGGGATGCTCCGTGCGGGCCGGGATGCTCTCTGCCGGGCCGGGATGCTCTCTGCCGGGCAGGGATGCTCTCTCCGGGCAGGGATGCTCTGTGCCGGGCCGGGATGCTCCGTGCCGGGCAGGGATGCTCCGTGCCGGGCCGGGATGCTCTCTGCCGGGCCGGGATGCTCCGTGCCGCGCCGGGATGCTCCGTGCCGGGCCGGGATGCTCTGTGCCGAGCCGGGATGTTCCGTGCCGGGCCGGGATGTTCTCTGCCGGGCAGGGATGTTCCGTGCCGGGCCGGGATGTTCTGTGCCGGGCCGGGATGTTCTGTGCCGGGCCGGGATGCTCTCTGCCGGGCCGGGATGCTCTCTGCCGGGCAGGGATGTTCTGAGCCGCGCCGGGATGCTCTCTGCCGGGCCGGGATGTTCTGTGCCGAGCCGGGATGTTCTCTGCCGGGCAGGGATGTTCTCTGCCGGGCAGGGATGTTCTGTGCCGGGCAGAGATGCTCTGTGCCGGGCCGGGATGCTCCCTGCCGGGTCGGGGCGATGTCGGGGATGGCGGAGGCGCTGGAGAAGTAGCAGGTGGTGGCGGCATCTGCCTGGGGCAGCGCTTCGGGGCGCTGTTCCAGGAGTCTGCAGGAGGGGCGGCTCTTCCAGGACTCCTCCTTCCCCACCGCCCTTGGCTGCCGGGAGATGGGGCCCCGCTCGCGCAAGACACAGGGCATCGTCTGGCGCACACCCACGGTAGGGCGGCGGCGGAGGGATCCCCGATAGCATCATTCCATAGTATCACCCGGCTTCCTCCTTCCTTCACCCCCTAAATTTGGGTGGATTGGATCGTGTGGGGGCGGTGGGTCGGGGCGTGGCTGCTGAGCCCTCCCCTCCTGCAGAATCGCGTTTCGTGCAGCTGCGGATGCTCCGGAGGTTCCCCTTCGCTCTGGGGATAGGCTGGCAGCGTGACTTGCTCTGCCTGGAAAACAAACAAAGGAGAAAAGTCATTTTCCTCTCCATCCAGAACTCTCCATGTGGACAAATCCCTTTGGGTAGCGCTTGGGGCTGTCTCTTCCGATAACTCTTTCCTTCAGCAGAGCCATGAGTTGGCCACCGTGCGATTTATTCCCGAAGCAGCCATGGGAGCCATGGGGTCAGGTGGACTCCGGGGTGCCTCCAGGCACTTCTGAAAGACCTCGGTGTAGTCAGTGGTGGGGAGGTAATGGCAGAGCAGTGTGTGCACATGTGTGAAAATGCAATGCATCTCCTGGCACGTCCCGTGAAGTGAGCTGGCTACATACGAGCTTTGGTCACCAGCTCCTGTTCTCACTGAGCTTGGTGTGTCTGGTGCCCGCAGCCGCTCCTGCCCTGCTCTGTCTCTGTGGTGCTCATCTGCTGTGGTCAATGGTTTGGTTAATTTGCTGCAAGTGTGCCTTGTTCCCTGCCTCACCTGCAGTTCATGTAATGCAAGGCTTGTTTTGTTCCCAGGAGCTTTGTCCCAACCCCCAGTTCATAGCTGGTGCAGCCACTGGCACGGACATCTGCCAAGGAGCCCTAGGTAAGCTGAGTTTTCCATGCAGGTGCTGCCCCGGGGCACCATGGTTTATACACGGCTGTAACTCACTCTAATACCTCCTTTTGCATCCTACCACCTCTGTTTATTTCAAATCAGACCTTTCTCACCTTTCCTTGGCATTTGCAGGTGGGGATTTCTGAATGCACCAAGCAGGGGTGGCACACACTGCTTTCCTGATGGTTTTTCTGATCATGGCCTGTTCCTTTCACATTCAAATCCATGTGCCTGACTCATTTCTGCCTTTAACAGTCTGCTTGGAAGAGCAGTTGAGTGCATAGCAGGACTTCTGTTTCCCCAGTGGGAGAGAGTTCTGCTGGGCAGGAGGAATCTCCTGAAACCTGGGGGGATGCAGAGAGAAAAGAAGTTGTATGGGGGATTCCCTGCTGCTGATCAGCTCTCAAGGAACACAAAACTGGGGTGTTTCAGGAGGGATGGGCCAGCCTGTGAGCTTCTGCCAAGGCTTCTGCTCAGTTTGTTCAATGGAAACCCCTTGGTGGGGCTCTTCAGGAAAGCTCTGGGAGCTGCAGGGAAGTGCCAGGGGACAGTGGGGAGCAAATGGCTTAGCCTGGCTGTGAGTGCACAGCTATCCCAGTCTGGAAGCCTCTCTCCTGCCTTGCCTTACAGAAGGGGTTTAGGTGGAGGATGTCTGCAGAGATATGAGGAGAAGTGCTGCTCCCTGCCTGCGCAGCCCCTGCCCTGGGTATGGAATAGAAATACTAATATTTCTTAGGAAGAATGGTGTGACAGCTGCCCTCTCAGCCAGACTCTTTCCTCCTGGCCCTGTCTTTCCCAGTAAATACCTTTGCAGTATGTAGTGCTACCTCTGCATGCAGCTCCCAGGGAAAAGGGTCTACCACTTTGCAGAGCAAAGTGGATGTGCTGTGACAGAGCAGGGAGGGGAATTTCATCATTGCTTCATAGTCTGTCACTGGAGAACAGCAAGGTGACTTTCTTGTTTAAAAACCTCTCTGAAATGCTGATTTTTCCACTGCAGTACAAGCAGCCAGAGGCAGGGCTGAAGGGGAAATTTCATGTTCAGTTCTTCCCCTCCAGGTTATGATGCAGTATAAGCACCTTAGGTTTTGAAATTATTCTGCAATTTCACCTCTTCCACCTTTCCTGAGGTGTGAGAAGATGTGTGGGACAGATGTATTTCCCAGAGCTGCTCCCGGGGGTCAGCTCTGCCAAGCAAGGGCAGCCTGGAGGGAGCTGCAGGTTGTCCGTGCTCCTGCTGGTGTTGTCTGAGCACTGATGGGTTTGGGCCTGAGGGTGTGTCGGAATCTGTGGGTATTGATGATTCTGAGATTGTAGAAAGTCTCTGTCTTTCAGCCCCGCTGCCAAAGAAGAAGCCATAATTGGTCTGTGCTGGTTTCAAGGTTGTTTATTCTGTTTATCTCTAACATGTTCTGCTGCCCTGCCGCAGCTCTGTCCTGCAGGGCAGCGTGTGGGGCTCTGCCCTCAGTGGGATGGTACAAACATTAAATACCAGAAACTACCTGTGCTATATTTACAATAACGTGCCAATATCTGTCACCTACATTGAACAGTGTGTCCCCAGCCTAAACCAATAGAAAAATGCCAACACCACAATGAAACATGGAGGGCATGAAGAAGGAGAAAAAGGAGAAGACACACCCAATTTCCTCCATCTTGTCCCCTCTGAACCCCTAATTTAGAAACCTAAAATTTTACTTTTGCACCCGTGCCACACTTAATTATTACTCTTATCAAACACTCAGAGCTTGTAATTCATCCTGTGAGATTGAAAACTCTTTTCCATGGACAGAGATCACAGACAGTGTCTCTGGGGGCTCTGTACAGGGGGGTTCCTGACCCCCTGCCAGGGTCCCAGACCTTCCAGGGCAGCCAGAGGGAAGCCCTGGATTCCCACAAGGATGGACCTGAGGAGGGCTGCTTTAGAGTTCATTCATCCTGAGACTTTGTCCCATTTGGATCCCAGCTTCTCACCCATCAGCTTTTGTGCCTCTTCCCATGGGAGAGAAGTGGCTGTGTAGGGACTGCTGCTTTGCTGACAGCTGTGGTTCACACACTGAAGCTGCAATCCTGCAGGACTCTTTTGTGGGGTCTCATGCACAATCCCGACTGCCCTCTGTTCACAAAGCACGGGAACAGCAGATCTGGGGATGGTAACAAGGAGTTTTGTGCTGGGCTGTGGCAGTCAGGGGATATCTGGCTCTGTGAATCTCTGACCACCTCGCTAAGGGGCTGCAGGAGGCCCATGGCTGAACAGAAAGGTGACTGCTCTGGTAAATAAAACTGGGCTCTGAAAAGAATTGCAGAAAGTAGAGGTGTCATGTTTATAGAGCTGAGGTCTCTTCCTCTCTGAGTGGCAAGAGATGGTGTGGAAAAACACAGTCCAGGGCTAGTGTGTGTTGGCTCCATCCCAGGCAGGATGAGGAGATGTGTGGGACTGGGAGACAGTGGCTGCCTTCAGGCCTCTCCTGGCTCTCCAGTGACTGTGCTGGAGGCCAGACATGGCACTAAAGAGAAAGGCCTCGAGCAAGAGCCTCCAGAAATGTGTAAAGTGAAAGGAGCTCCTGTTTGCAGGGAGGATGGCAAGAGACCTTAAATGGAGCTTGCCTGCAGGACAGGTCTCTGGACAGCAAGGAACACGTTTATTAAACATGGAGAAGGGAAAAGAATGCAGCCTACACCTAAGAAAACACCTTTGAGGAAAAACTGCACCTTTAAGTACCTGTGTGTGCCCACAGGCTCTTTGCCCTTTCCTCTGTGCTTCTTCCTGTCATAAAGCACTCAACTGAATATTAAGTTTGCCTTCAAACAGTGCCAGAATGGGTGATCACTGTGGTGGTAGGTCAGAAAAGGCTCGCTTTGACATTTTTGGTCTTGAGGAAACACTTGTCTAGATCTGGAGGTTATTTGATCTGTCTCAGAGATAAAGTGATGGGAGGGATTGTCCTATCCCAGCTGAGGGAATCATTGATTATAATTCACAATCCTGATGCAGTGCAAAAAAACTAAGTTTGAGTAATGAATGCTGTCTTGGTTTTTCGTTTCACTTTTTTTTTTACAGGGCACTGTTGGCTCTTGGCAGCCGTTGCTTCTCTCACCCAGAATGAAGAAATTCCTGCCTGTGTTATTCCCAAAGACCAGAGCTTCCAGGATAAATATGCAGGAATTTTCCACTTCCAGGTATGTGGAAAGCAGCCTTTTCCCCTTAATGCTATTGGTCAGGAGCCAGTGTGGCTGTCTACGTATCCATGTGTGATGTTTCCTGGCATGGCTCTGTGGGATGTCAAAGAGCCAGACAGAAAAAAGGAGACATCTAAAAAGGGTGGCCTTCTGTCACCGGGGGCTGGGAAGCTCCATTTCATGTGCTCTGTGCACCTCTGAGGGCTTGGCAGGTGCCAGTGCTTCAGTGTGCAAAGAACATCAGTCCATGTGCCCAGGTCTGTGTTCAATGCTCATTTCTGAATCTCCATTTTTGGGCTGGCCAGAGAGGGATTCTGTCTTCTAACTCTGCTATTTTGAATTGACTTAAGACATTTAGATCAGCTGAAAATCAGACCCATAACTGTATAAGGAATTTAAAAACTGTGGAACTAGAGAGGCAAATTATTTGGTCTTAATTTTTTTAATATATATTATTTTTTCTGCAGACAGTGTTCATGATTCTTGTCATTGATATGACTGAACCTGCAATGTGTATGCATGACTGTATAATATTTTATGCTGGGCTTTCCAAATACAGAGGTCTAAGAAGCAAAGCTGACTGGAGGGACATGTTTGTAGCTGCTGCAATGCTCCTGAAAGCAGAGCTGGCATATTAAGGGCCTCTGCTGAAGGAAGAGGAGAACAGGGAGCCTGCTGTGTGAGAAGAGAACAGGGCCTGATGGTTGTGCCTGTCCCCCATTTTGTGCAAGCTGAATGGCTCATATGAGTCCCACCACCACTGAAGGCTTTGAGGACTTCACTGGTGGCATTGCAGAATGGTATGAGCTGCAGAAGCCACCCCCCAGTCTCTTCAAGGTCATTGAGAAGGCAGCCCAAAAAGGCTCTCTCCTTGGCTGCTCCATTGCTGTGAGTAAGCAGGTTTATTTCTGGGTTCTTGCTGTGCACACAGGCTGGGGTGGACCTGTGCTGCACCTGCAGGAGCTGCACACAGCATGCCAGTCCCCTCTGCCTATGGTTCCCTGCTCTACCTCATGCCTGAAGGATTTGATTTATTAAAGAAATATGGATATTGATCTAGTACCAATATCCAGCTGTGACAGACAAAAACTCTCTAACAGTTTAAGGTTAGAAAGTGTGTGTTTATTGCGACACCGGGCAGCGTGTGGGATCGCTCCCAAATCCACACTGCACCTTCCAAGTGATTAGAGTCTTTTTATCCATACAAGTATTGAATACCCAAAATATAAATACACATTAATCATTTTGGTACATCCCATTCCTCTCTTCGTATGCTAATCACTCCAAAAGGTATTAAGCATGCGTGGTTTGTTCCTTGAAATGGGTCGGTGTCCCTTTCATGGGGAGGGGTCCCAAAATGAGGAAGTAAATGAAGTCTTCCTCGTTCTGACCTTTCTACCTTTTCAATGCAAGTATGACAAATGAACTCTTGGTAGAACTCCCATTCCTTGTCTTCAACTGGTTTCAGAACAGAGGAGACCCACAATTGTCTTATGTTCCTAAAAGCTATTTGTCAGTTTCTATATTCTTCATTATAAACCCAGCTAACTAAACATTGTGCTGATAAGCAATCAATTATTAGTTAACTACTAACTCTTAACTTCATCAAGGCCTACTCATTTATTATTATTATTTTAATTAACTCTAGTAAGGCTTATTTCTAACTAAAAACTTAGCTCCTCTAAAATATCTAAATTCCTTAAAGTTTACGTTTCAGATTTGACCCAGGCATGTGCTCTCCATGGGGGTTAGGCTGAAACTAAACTTCATTAGCTCAAGTAAAAAGCTCATTCCATCCCTTGTGCTTTTTCCATGAGACCCTCTCCTGTTTAGAAGGCTGATGGTAATGAATTACACAGGGAGCTTGTTAGGGGTCCTGATGGACATCTGTGTTCCTAAGAAAGCCTTGTCTTGGCAGCAGGATGGCACAGGCTGAGAGGGTTTGGACAAAGAGCTGCTGCTACTGGCTCCTGCAGGCTCAGAGGTGACAATGTCCATCCTCGCTGCAGCCTTTTTGTTGCACCTTTGTTGCACAAGGTGTACCTAGAAATGTTCCCCAAAAGTCTGGGCTCTGTTCTTGAAGCAGAGAGTTTCAGACTGTTGCCAGGCCTTTAAAAGGTTTTATGGAAAGACACATTGTCAGAAGCTGGACCCACATGGGAAAGAAAAAGGAGCTTTGGCCCTGCCTTCAAGGATTCAGCATTGCTTTTAGCCTTACTGAAATGAGTCTAAGTATTGTTATTGTGGTAATCACCCTCCTCCAAAATGAGAATGCATCTTAGTTATGTCTAAAGGGAACAAAAACTCCATTCATAATGTAAATGTAAATGTTTCCTGCCATTTTTCAAGTCAAATCAAGTCCCAGGAGATGGAAGCTTCACAGCAGGAAAAGTGCTTGGTTAATGTCAATTTGACTTCATGGTATTTTCAAGGTCTGTTTTACTTATTGACATTTAGATAAGAATCTGACATCTGGATTTTTGCCCCAGACTTATAGAAATCCCTTGGTTGGGTCAGGAGGAGAGTAAATATATTATGTTGTTGATAAGTGCTGGCACTTTCTGTAGTGTAAATTAACTGTTGCTAAGTTTATCCTTTGGAAAAAAAAACAAACAAACATGCAAATTGACCCCAAACCCTAGTGCTAAATCATAGTGGCAGGGAGGGAGGATGGACAAGGTGGTGCTATGGAAAACCCTTCTGAGGAGACTTTGCCAGTGGCCTTGCCTTCTACAGGATGATGTTCAATGACTTCCTGAGGCATTAATCCCCCTGGAGATCTGCAGCCTGATCCAGACACCCTGGCAAGTGACAGCTACAAAAAGTGGAGCCTGCAGAAGCTGGATGGGAACTGGAGGTGAGGAGCCACTGCAGGGGGCTGCAGGAACCACCCAAGTAAAAAAAACTGGGGAAACCTTTTGCTTGTCCACTTGTACTTTCTCTGGAGTTTCCAGGAGATGTTTTGGGATGGCTTATGGGATATGTAGGACTAATCTCCAAAAAGTCTGGGTGTCTGGGAAATGTGGCTCCCTGATGAGGGTCCTTTGTGGTTGTAAAGGCTGGGGTGGGCAGGGCAGTGCATTGGTTTTCTCTTCTAACAGCTGATTTTGGCAGTCAGAGCCACATCTGTCACATCTGACATGTTTAAATATCATCACGGTTTCTATGAAAGAAGCCGCTGAGTAGTTTGCTTAAATCCACTTCCCAGATGCATTCTGGACAAATCCTCAGTATTTAATCAAGTTGGAGGAGGAAGATGAGGACCCTGATGATCCTGATGAAGGCTGCACTTTCCTCATTGGGCTGATCCAGAAGCATTGTCGGAAGCAGAGGAAGATGGGGGAGGACATGCACACCATCGGCTTTGTGATCTGTGAGGCAAGTAAGGCTGACAGGAATGTGGGGGGAAAAGGGAAAATCATTCCCCCTGTAAATGGGATAGTGCAGTTCCCATGCTGGGCTTTCCTTCAAAGCTCAGATGGGTTGAGCGGGACAGCAGCTACAGCAAGGAAGCTGTAAAGAAGCAAAAAGCTGTATCATGCTTGATTAGCCCCTGTCTCCTCTCCTGACGATGGAGAGGTCAGAGGGGTAGGAGTGAGAAAGAGGAAATGGGGACAAATAGTAGAGAAATTGAGCCTACAATAAAAATCGTGCTGGGCTGCAGGGAGGAGATTCACAGCCAGCCTGGCTGTGGCTGTGGCCACACTGCCCCAGGTGAACCTCACCTGCCTCAGGGATGGAGTTCAGCCAGCACTTGGCCTTGGGTGATATGGGCTCAACACCCACCTTCCCCTCAAGCCAAGCCTTTTTTCCTTTTGTTTTGTTTTGTTTTGTGTTTTTTTTTTTTGTTTTGTTTTGTTTTTTTTTTTTCCAATGATGTGGATGTCCTTCAGATCAATGTTGCGAAGTTCTTTAAGTAACATGCAAGGCTGCATTTCAAAACGTTTCTCTTCTGCCAGGAGTCAAATCACGCTCTGCATTATTGTCAAGATTTCACTTTGGGTTTTGTGTTTTGCAGCAAATTTACAGAGAAATTGATGTGGCTCAATCGGGTACCATGAACTCCTATGAGATGAGGAGGGCGCTGAAAATAGCAGGTATTTATATTGATCTGTCTCTTCATAGGATTCCATCAGTTTCAAGCAGGGTTGAGAGATGCTCTGAGCCATACAGTCCCATCTTAACTTACTGAATTTTGGGCACACTGGAGCCTTCCCCTCCTGCCACCACAAAAGATCAGGCATTTAATTTGGTACCCATGTTTCTCTTTGGAAATAGAGTCTTTTAAATCCTTGGCATTGTATTTTCAGGGTTCAAACTGAGCTGCCAGTTTCATCAGGTCATCGTGGCTCGTTTTGCTGATGAGGATCTTGTCATTGACAACTTGGTGCACTGTTTGATTCGGCTCAAATCCTTGTTCAGTGAGTACACACAGTACAGGATTCCAGCAGGATAACTGTCCAGGCAGACATCCTGTCCAGAATCCCAGGGTAAGGTACTCAGACAAATTCAATCCTGAGATATTAATCTGGCTTCTCCTAGATGCAGGAATCAGTCTTTTAGGCCAGGCTGCTGAACCACAGCCAGTCTTCTCTGCAACAACTCAATGTTGATTAAAAAATACTAGGCAACAATTAAAAATGTTCAGTCTTGCTCCTGCACAATGATTTTGGAGTGGCCCTTTCTGATTTGGGGTGTAGGCCATTGTCAAGTTTTAGATGCTGGGACTAAATTCCTTATTGATCCTGAAGCACAAGGAAAAGGAAGACTTTTAAATTAGTTCCTCTGTTTACCATTGTCTGTCATCTCTCTCCAACCACAGAAATTTTTAGAAAACTGGATACAGAAAAAAGTGGGACAATAGAATTGAACCTGGTTAATGTAAGTTCATTTAGCTCTAAAACATTTATTTTTGGGCGAAAAATGGTGGGGAGGGGAATGTAGAATCTGTCCTGCTCCATTCTGACTGAGGATGGCTGGTTTTAAGTACTCACATTTCTGCTGGATTTATCTACCTTGTATTTATAAGTAGCCTTAGAAAGGTTACCTTTGAAAAATGTACCTACATCACAACATATTCTCTCACAGACACAGTTACATGCACCAGAAGCCACCTTTGGTAAAAGCAGTCATTTTGGCTTCTTCCCTGCTTTTCCTATCAACAGAGCAAAATGTAGGTGCAGTTGTGTAGGCAAGACTGATGGTCTTGCTCATGTCTGCTTCTTTCTGCCCCATGTGTGCCCAATAGAAAGGACTAAGTTTGGAGAAAAGTACCCTCCTATGTGTCTTTGACTTCCTTATGACCTGAACATAACTTACTTCTGAACCTAAGAATCCCAAAACTCTGATTTAAATGAGATATAAATTTAAATCGCTCAGGAAAGATCCTAAAATTACTTCTGTAACAACAGGCTGACTATGCTAGAAATGCAGCTATGCATGCTTGCTACAGGTCTTTTTATTAAATATAACCTTGTTTTCCTCTCTCTCTTGCTACAGTGGCTGTGCTTTACTGTCATTTGAGCCACTGGCATCAGCCTGAGACCTCAAGAGGAGCATGATCAGGTGAAGATAATCAAGCTACATACAAGTAATATCCAATTATGAATGTGCCTTAACTCACACAAAGCAAGCAGATTTTGCATGCAATTGCAAGAAGAAAAGCATTCTACTTCCACAGAAGAACATGCAACCTCATTTTTATGGGTCTGACAGTCTGTGCCTACTCTCATATAGCCTCTGGAAAAAGGCTTTAGTTTAGTATCAATCCTCAGTGCAGGTTTTGAAAACACTGCTTTGCTAATATCTTTGTATTTAAGGCGTTTTACAGGACTTCAGGAAGAAAAGCTCATTATAGCTTGACAGTCTGGTTTTACAAAGTGCTTTTTGAACAACATCCTGCATATCTGAAATTAATAAAGAGATAGTATTGCATATCTAAACACCTGTACTCAGAGACAGGGGTTCCAAGCCCCAGCACTATCCTAGTGAAATATTATTCAAAGAATTTGAGTAGCAAGTACATCTTTGACCAAGTGAGCATTGATGTGCCTGGAACTGAAGGCTGCTGGTAACAAGACTCTTAGAGAAAGCCCATGCTTTCAGGTGGAATCTTAAGTGCCTGTATCTTATTTATCTTCCTTTGAAATATAAGAAAGCATTTAAATTAAAAATAAAAAGTAGAAATAAAGTTTGCCAGACTGTTATTTCTGCTGAAAATAAGCACTATTTTTTTTTCTTAGAGATTGATATTCTATACCCCACACCCAGCCTGTTAAAAGCAGAGGCTGTGACTGTGAGCCAATTGCTGCTGCCTTTAATTTCCCCACCTGAGGAATTGTGTCCTCCTTAAAAACTATTTCTTCCTTATAGACACCATTTCAGAAAGCAGTAGGACTTACCTAGTAGGAAAACATGAGCCTGCAGGGTGAGGCACTTTCTAAATACCCTTAAGGAATTATTTGCTCCTCTGTTAAATACTGTTCAGTATCAAATTATTGCCAAATGTAGAGATAGAAAGGACAGCTCTATAGGAAAAGCTTTATTTGGAAAATACTTGTACCAAGTTGGGTTTTTTCCTTAAGATGTCCCCTAACTTTTAAGGTTAACAACGTGTCACTAACAGATTCAGCTCAATTTTAAATGCAGCAAAACTACCTTGACTAGATGGGGGAGGAGGGGCTCAGTTTAATACAGAAAGTGGCTGAAAGTTAGTGTAATGTAGAACAACAGTGTGTCTTACTGGCAACATTTCTAATAAAATCACTATTAAAATACCCAGAGTTAAAGCTTAAGAGGAGACAAAAGTTTAATGGTGGAGTAAACAAGTAGAGTAAAAACAAGTACATTGTCAAGGACTACAGAAAGTTTCTACACTTAGTTATCAAAGTACAAAATACAGTAAATACATGAGGCTCTTTGTAAAAAGAGGAATCGAAAACGACATTTCTGTTACAGCACATGATATTTTGAATACACAGAATTTCTAAGATACTACAGCTGTTTTAAAAGTTATTGCTTAATGGATTGGTCATGTGGTTGTCACTCTTCAGATGCACTTCAGTTTTTTTAGCTTCTTTTAACAAACATTCTGCTTCCAGCAATAACCAGTTGGGTTCTGTGCACATACTTCAATTTCTCCCATCTGAAAAAAGCCTCTGGATAAATTTGGACAAAGCAAAGTTATCTGTTTCATGACAATTCCTTCAATGGCAAAGTCAAAAGGTCCTTGTATTTAATGCAGAAAAGAAGTGAGACTCTTTTCTGCCATGTTTGAAGACAGCTGGGTGGGTACTTTAACACATCAGCTTGATTTGACCAAAGGCTGTAGAATTTCATCTGCTTGTAAGCATTATTTCATACTGTACAATGCCCTCATCCATTTGCTAATGCATCAATCCTTCATTTGTTTTCAAAGCACATTTTTCATAACTTTCAGATTTCATTGTCATTGAAATAAATCTCATGGAATTGGAACCAACACAAAATGGACTTTTTTTGCTGTAAGTTATCCATGATTAGTACTTCAAGAATCTGGCTTCTGTACTGTTTCATGCCAAGCTTCTTTGTCTAGGTTTAATCCTAGACAGCTGAGGGTAAAACAGAAACGAGGTTTAAAACTTTAGTGCTTTAAAAGATTACTTTTTAAAAAGAAAAAATAAAGGGGAAAAAAAACCCCTCTCTTTGGTGTTACAATTCTAATGTTATCCATAGTGGCAAAAAGCATGCTTATAAAAAACACTCAGGGCACTGATAAATAAGAATTTAGCAGTCTTAGGCAAGCTTAAAAAATACCAACCATGTCAGTACAAAAGGAAGGTACTGAGCAGCACATAACTGAGTACTTTCAGCTCTACCCAGATAGGTGGACTAGGAAAAGCACGTGGCTTTGTAAGTCAAGAGACTTCTTTGTTCAGTGAATTGTGGGATTGTTCCCTGTTTAATAAATGGGACCAGAGAGGTGAAGTCTGGTTTACTTTTATGGCAGTATAGCTTGGGGCAAGCTGGAAGCATCTGTCTGCAGAAGGACCATGGAAGTGGAGGAGCTTTGCTCTAGAGTGGAGGGCAGGTGGCCAGTCCCACGAGTGACCTGCCCAGCAGGAAATTGGTCCCTGGGCCACGTGCTGCTCACACAGCCTGGCTGTGGGAAATGAATTTGTAAAGAATTCTTGAAATTTGATAGAAAGTTCACACAGTCTTGTACATCTGTATGCAAACATTGAGATAAGGTGTGTTGATTTTGGAACTAAATTGAACCAGAAACAAGTTTCGATGAGTTTCAAAATATGGCCTTGCAAAAAGATCAGATATTTGAGAGAATTAGAACAGTGAAAGATGCACTGTAGCAGGACTATGTGGGGAATAAAAAGAGGTGGTTTGTGTTAGAATTAATAGCAGCATTGTGTGGCAAAAGCTAATAGGCTGAAAAAAATTTATAAGATATTGTAACCAGGAAATAGGTTGGCTTCTGATGGAATAATGTTGAGTTTTACATCTCTTGTGTCTCACTATTCATCAAGGCTGATAATGGAATAAAATCTTTTAAAATGCCTCTCAGTTACCCCATCTCTGTAAAAGCTGGGAAAACCTGGCCACACACACAGGGGTGCAGAGGACAACTGACAGGACACAGCAGTGTCACAGTTAATTAATACTGTGTACTTTTCCCCAAAGATTCTGTTGAGATTGTGTTGTGCTTACAAAGGTAAGTTTTTATCCCCAGTTTAAGCTGTGCTGCCTTGTACATTTTTTTTTCTATAAGCACAGATATTCCTTGTGTTCTTACACACCTGTGTTTAGGCTCAAAACACAAGCTTATGAACAAGCACCACATGCACAACCCACCACAGGGTAGGCAAAAATCAAAAAGCTGCCATTTTAACCTTTCTATGAAAGGCTGATGACTGCTCTCAATTTAGAAATGTTTACTTTGGAGAGGGAAAAAACTGAGCAGGAGTAGTATGTTAGGCAGGATTTTACAGTAGGTGTGTAGTTCTGACCTGGAACTGATACAGACATGAAAACTGATTTTGCATTAGATAGAATCGCTCTGCAAAGTCCAACCAGTTTGAGAGTAAGGATTATCTGCATGAGGAAGGAGGCTCAGCCTCCTTCAAGCATCATACATCAATCAGCTAAAATTCACAGTGTTTAATTTTGAAGAACTTCTTATCTCCAGCACCAGGGCAACTAAAATTGCAGAAAAAAATCTTAATGGAATTTTTATGTATGTGTCCGTCTGCCATTGTTTTCTAGCAACTCAGCTATGAGGAGAAATACAGGGACATAATTTAAGTATATCTTATTTGTTATTTTGTTATAACACTGTTATTTTTAATAAAAGGCAATACAAAAGGTGATGAGAGAAGGAGAGGCTATTCATGTAAGGCCTCGGACAGATGGTTAAAGGTTACTTAAAAAGCACAGGAGAAACCAAAGATCTGCCTTTATTGAGCAATGTGATCTGTTTTCCAACACTAGAAAAAAAGATAACCTAGTTTTTTGCAGTGTTTAGCTCCTTGGATAAGGAGATACACAGGTGCCCTGTGTACACAGGGAAGGATTCATGACTTGCTCTTCATGCAAATTTTAGTTCTGAAGGCCTTTTGTGCCAATACCTCACTTTTGTGAAACAGGGAAAATTCTCAAAAAATCATAGAATATCCTGAGATGGAAGGGACCCCCGCCCAAGGAATCACTGAGTCCAGCTCCTAGCCCTACACAGGACAGCCCTAAAATCACCCCATGTACCTGAGAACACGCTCAAGAAAATCTCATTCACACATCATGTTTGGATAAAAGGGGTTTTTCCCTCTAAGATAGTGAGACTGAGACAGCGTGAAAATTTACCAGGGCCGTTCTGTAACTTGCTTAAAAAGATTTAATCTGTGCTCAAGGCCCCATTCCAAGATAAACAGGGGTCCCTTTATGGGAGCAAAGGCTAAGGCAGCAGCAGGGACAAGGTGACTGGAGAAGTTCTCTGTATAGAGGACAAGGACTGCTAAAAATTAATTGCAACTTGTAACGTGAAACCAGTAAAATGAATATGCATGAGACTCGATGCATATGTATAAACAGGTGGGAGATAAAAAAGGTTTGGGAATTCTCAGAGGCACACATGTCCTTTGAAGGGGGAATGATCCCCACATGTGCCCAGCGTTGCAATACACATTGCAGCTTTACAACTTTTACAAAGTTGTGGGGCTTGATTCTTTTTCCACAACTCAATATGATCAAATTAAATGCAATTGAAAAAAAAAAACCAAAAAAAAAAAAGAGAAAATTGGGGAATTCAGTGACTACAAGAAAATGGACTAGGATTACATGAGTTGCAGTGAAATGGACCAAAACGTGCCAAAGTAACCTCACAGATGTTGCAAAATCAGTAGAAAAAAATCAAGGAAGAAGAGAAAACGTTGAGGGGAAGATATGGGTGAAATGGCATGGATACTGAAAAAAAAAAAATCTTTGCCAAAGTGAAATACATCCAAAGGCATGGGATGCCATGAAGTGCAGGGATATGGAGCAAAGCTTGCCAAATTAATCCCCATTGAAATCACAAGATTTCATTTCCTTTCAGGAAAGGAAATGAAATCTTGGAAACAGACTAGAAGGACTTACAAACACTCTGGAAAGGAGATATGATCAAATGAAATGCAATTGAAAAAAAAAAATTAAATAAAACTGGGACATTTCTTGACTATGAGAAAACTTGTTGGGGGGAAAATGAGGGGCAGTGAAAAGGACAAAAACATGCAAACTAACCTCATAGATGTTGCAAAATCGGGGGAAAAATCAAGGAGAAAGAGAGAACATTGAGGGGAAGATAAGAGTGACATGGCATGGATACTGAAAAAGAAAACTAAAAAAATCTTCACCAAAATGAAAGCTATCAAAAGGCATGGCATGCCATGAAGTGCAGGGATATAGGCCAAAATTTGCCAAAATTGATCCCCATTGAAATCGCAGGAAATTGCATTTGCAGTCTTCAACTTTTCATCTGGATCTGAATATTGCAGGGAGTTCAAAAAATTTGAGTTCTGGCCAATTTCTGTCCTAGTCACAATGTAATAAATTTCTAGGTTTAAACTTTATTTGCTTAACTGTTTTACTGATTGCAATTCATGGCAGAATGAGAAGCCCTTCTGAATACGAAGTCTTAGAATAGTTAGAATATTTTCAAAATATGGGAAAAATTACATGGATTTATTATACAGAAAAAAATTCAAACTCTGAAAAATCAAACTAGAACCTCAAGTTTACAAGTAGTGATTGTGCTGAGGGGATGAGAAAATAGGCCTTCCATGCACTTCAGCAGTAGAGGAGCCTCTTCACAAACATTTGAATTACAATGAGAGCAAAATCAAGTTGACACATAGAAGCTGTGATCCTCAAATCAAATATGAGTCACAGCAAAAGCGCTGGATAAATAATTTTCTTTCTCAAATAAAAGGGTTCAGACCAGAAAGCGGTGATAAAAAAAAAAAAAAAAAAAAAAAGGAATTTTTCCTGTATTAGAGAAAGTGAGCAAAAGATGCAATGTATTGAAAGAGATTTTTTTGAGTAAAGCATTTTTCCTACTCTCCATAAAGTACCTTTCTTTTGTGCTCATTTTTTCCCTGCATGGTCTTCCATTTTCTTCATTCAAGTCCTTAAGTCAGTGCTGCAGTAATCCTTAAAAATATGCTTTTACCGATTATTAATGAAGGTACAGTATTATCATAGCCTTAAACTGGCCAAAGAAGTGAGCAGCTTGCCAGGGCAAAAATAGATGTGAGTCCCAGAAGGCCTTAGCAAACGAAAAGGAAAGCACAGTACGACTAAGAAAGAAGGATGAACTCGCCAAATCTCCCTTCTCATTACACTCTAAATGTTAATTTCTTTTAAACAGCTCCTAGATGTTTCTTTTGTCTTAAGATCACTGTCTGTGAGTTCCTTCTGACCTCCTGTATGACCTGGTTTGTTGAACAGCTCGGGACCACCGTCACTTCAATCATCTTAGCCCAGGCAAATTCCACGTGAACAGGGATAACACCTACATGTGAACACTTTCAAGATCTGGCTTTTGGTTATGGTATCAAATAGTTAAAGGCAATTGAAAGGGAAGCATCTTAAAAGGTGGTTATCGTAGCAGGGCATCCCCAGCATGGTAATAATTAGTATTGACTCCATGATGTCCAGAAGGCTGATCCGTTGCTTTATTGTACTATACTATAAAAAAACTCATCCCCTTACAGACAGTCCAATACAGTCAGACCAGATTGGTCAATTGAATCCAAAACACCATCACCAGTGGTAAATTAAGAAATCACCCTTTGGTAAAACAAGTCTCCATAACACATTCCTCATATGCACAATAACAGGTACAGTGAGTGAAGATAAGATTTGTTTGTCATTCTTTTCTCTGTTCTTCTTACAGTCAAAAGGGAAAAGTTGTGCCTACTGCTCTCTGTGGAGAGATCTGTAACTACAGGTGGCTCT